ATCCTTACCTTATCTGTAATTTATATAATCATATATTCAGTTTGTGAAGTTTTGTATAACACAAGAAAATCAGGTGACGATCTTTGTGTATCAATCTTTTTGCACTGGACCATATCATTTATTTAAAAATATAAAAGCAATATTTTTATTTTATTCTTTTTTTAAAATAATTTGAATTATATTATAACTTTTATAATATATTTGATATAAAAGAATTTTATATTAATTATTTTTATATAAAGATAGTTTTATATATCACTTGAGATAATAAATAGAATATTATAAAACTATTAATTATAATTATATTATTTAAAAAATGGAAACTATTATTAAGTCTAAAATAATCTTGACTAAAAAAATTTACACTGATATTTACTTTATCTAGAATTTTGTATAATTACAAAAGCCAATCAATATTGACTTAATTATTAAGCGGAAAGATATTAGAATTTTTTTCAACGTACAGTATATATTTCTATACTTTATTTTAGACTAAATTTTAATCTCTAAAATTTTTGATAATATTAATGTTCATTTTTTTTGATTTTATTACAATATGCCCTATTTAATAATTTTTATATTATTCATTAAAGTTAAAATATAATAAGTTATAATTAATTATAATTAATTATTACTTACAAAAACTAATTGCAATTAATTGTAATTAGTTATAATTAATTACTATTCTATTTTTATTAGTTATAAAAAAAGTCTAATTATTTATTTATTATAATAAAAATTATTATAATAAATTTTATAAAATAATTTTAAAAAAAATTGAACTTTATAGAATAATTAAGTTAAAATCTAATTTTAAAATCTAATAAATTTCAAAAAATAAAGATAAAATTTTTTAAGTATATTATTTATTTTTAATAAATATTTTATTATTAAAAAATAAAAGGTAAATAAAAACTTATATTAAAACTTATAAAATTATTAAAATTTTAATACTGATTAAAATTATTTAATATTATTATTATTAATAATATAGATAATTAATTAAACTATAATATAATTAACTTTTTCTAAATGAACCTTCAATAAATATATATACTATACTTTAATACGAATTAATGAATTATTAATTAAATTGTATTTTGACAGATATAATTATTTTACTAATAATTTATAATAAATATCAAATTGATATAATTAATTTTAACATTATCAAAATTAATTAGTATCAAAATATAATATATATTATATATTTTCTTATTAAATGTATGTACTTATTTAATCTTAAATATATAAAAATCATATAGAAATTTTTTCTTTAAATGCATATTTTTTTTAATTGCATATTTTTAAAATTTCACTATAAGACCTAAGAGAATGCATTTTGAGAGAGTCAACTTTATTTATTAATTTAAATTAATTACAATTAATTTTTTATTATTATTAATAATATTGTATATTCAAATATAAAAATTATAAATAAATAAAAAGTTTTAAAATTATATATAAAATTACAAAATATTTACTTACTTTAATTATATTAATTAGTAAATAATATTTTTATTAATATTTTATATCTTACTTTATTTTATTAATATTATTAATAATTATAATAAATATTAAAACTAATATATTTAATAAATTAAAATTAATTTAAATTATGTTTATATAAATATTATTATAAAAATAATAAAAAATAATAAAAATATTAATAATATAAAGTTATGACTCAATAAATATATTAGTAAATTTATTTATATAAAATAATATTAAATTATTAAATTAAAATTAAAATAAATAATATAATATTAAATTTTAATTAAAATAACATTTATAATAATAAATTAAAAAATTTAATATTATTTCTTATATAATATTATATTTATATTTGTTAATTAAATATTTTATAAATTAAATAAATAATATAAATTAAATTATAATTATTAATTTATTACTGATTTTTATTATATACTTTTTAAATCAAATTATAATCAGATTTATTAATACTTAAAAATATTTATTAATATTATTTATTTATTTTAAATAATTTTTATTTTAATATTTTAATTTTTAAAAAAATAAAGAAAATAAATTTCTTTAGTTATAAAACTAATTTTTTTACTTTTTTTTTATAGTTAGTCAAATCTTTGATTAGCTGATCATTTATTTGACTCTAATTTTTTAAAATATTAGAAATGCATATCCTGCATATATCAATGCCGTTTTTTTTCGAAATGTTTAGGAAATAACGTGTTAGTAGAGTCGCGCTAACAAATCCAAGACTGTTAATTATGGTAAAAAAAAAAAAAAAAAAAAAAAAAATGATTAAGAAATCGCTAAACTATATATGGGACATTTGAAAAAAAGAGCATACGAAAATTAAATAGCCAATCACATTTATGTATTAATTTACTGCACAAAAAATTACTGGTAAAAATACATATGCTTAAAAAATTTTTTATGATCTCAAGCCACCAAAAATAGTATTTTACTTGTTAAACGAATTACAAAAAAAAAATTATTGAACTTTCTCTATCTATCTTTTTTTTAATACTTTTCAAACTATTATTTGAGTAATTTAACCTTTATCAATATCAAACATGGGTGAGTTCTGCATTTTAATTCCCCATTATGTCGAGTCTGTTTTAGATTTCTAATTTTAACGTATTTATCTTTCACGCGGGTTTTCTCTAGGATCGAAAAAGAAAGTTACTAAAATGTCACTGACAGATTTTTTGGCAGATCAGTGTATATATAGCGTAGAATTTTGTTGCTTTCGTTAATTTGTATTGAGATTAAACTATTGTAAATATGAACAAACCATTCTTTTGACAAAATAGCAACCGGTTCTTGGGCGGATGAAATGGAAGATTTACCTTCTGCGCGTGAGTTTCTCATATAATGCGTGTTGATATATTTTACAATTTCGCATACATCTAAACAGTTAGCATTCGCTTTATCTAGCTGCCGCGGCGTTTTCAGGTACTGTTAAACCTTAATTGTTATCCTTTTATCATTTTAAATTTTAGTTATTACATAAAAATGAAGCAAAGTATTAGAAATTTTTTAAAGTCGAAATGCCATATTATAGATCACGAGAAAGGTGGTTTCGGAGATAGGAGATCGGGCTTTTCAGAAAGAAGAACTTATTCAAGAGGTAACTTTCATTCTCTGAAACAAAATCAAGCTTTAAAATCGTAAATAAAAAAAAATCTATATTTATATAATTACAGATTCACGTTATGAATCTCGTGATTCGCCACGCGATTCTAAGTTTCCATCTCGACATGCTCAACCACTTCCTACATCCCCACCTTATACAGTCCATCTTGGTAATTTACCTTATGACTTAACTTTAACTGAAGATGATGTAAAAAAATTTTTTTGTGAATCAAAGGTAAGTATTAAATTTATACGAAAGTTATATATGAATTGGAGAAATAAATAACTTAGATATTTTATAAATTAGATCAACACTGTTAGGATTCTACGTGACAAAGATGATAAACCGAAAGGTTTTGGATATGTTGAATTTGAGGATCTAGAATCATTGACCAAAGCACTGCAATTGAGTGGAGAGGTATAGGATGTGTTTTTTAATTTTGCTGCTTTATGTAAAATCTGTTATTACCTTTCATTCATTGATTCTTTTTTAAAAAAAATAAATACTAAGCATTTAAAAATTTTTTTTTTTTACTATTCCTGATATTTGTTATAGAATTTGGGGAAAAGGCCGGTTAGAATTAGTGTAGCTGAACGTAAGTTATAGTTTTTTTTTTTTAAAAAAAAAAAAAACAAATCTTTTTTAATGAATTAGCTATAAATGTTTTTTAAATAATTAGCACGTGAGCGCGAAGATCGTACCGCTGGTGAATGGCGGCGGATAATGCCAAGAGAATCACCGGCCTCTTCACCAAGAAGTGATCGTTTTGGTAGCAGTGATAAATTTGGTAGTAGGGATGACAATAAATGGGGTGACCGTGGTGGCGGTTTTCGTGATCGAGGTGAACGATCCGATCGTGGTGAACGTGATCGAAGTGATCATCGGGCGGATCGCAGTATTGAACGAAATGACCGAGGTAAAGGAGATACAGAGTGGAGAGGCGGAGCTTTCAGTAATAGACCAAGTGGTTTTCGTGAGCGTCGATCCGAGGAAAGGTTTAATTCAGTGCGAAAGCATGACATACGTCCTTTACCTGAGCCGAAAGCCGAAAATACCGATACGGTGGCTACTGATGTTGCTACATCTCCTCCACCCATGCGCAAAAAGCTTGAACTTAAGCCACGAAGTTCTGCTACTGTTATTCCAAATGAAGCCGTTTCTCCACCAAGATCATCCAAGCCAAATCCATTTGGTGATGCTAAACCAATAGATTCGGATGAAGCACTTCGAAGAGTGGAAGAACGAAGAAAACAAAAAGAAAAAGAACAAAAAGAAAAAGAAGAGACGGAAAAAGCAGAATCTAAAAACGGTAATGATGATGTAGCGACAGAAAATGGTGATGCTTAAAATATGAATCAATAAGGTAAAACAAAAAAAAATATATATAAAAATATATATAATATTTTACATCAATATACGATTAACCAAAAAAAAAACAAAAAAAAAAAAACCATCATAATATTTAACCAACCTGAAACACAATACATTTTGTATTTTGTATTTTTTTTTTTTTTTCTTTTCCTCTTTGCTATATATATGTAATTCATTTTAACGATATGAGCCAATTTTCTTGTAGTAATAGAGCTAGTAATTTCAAAAAAAACATCAGGAAAAATATACCACCCAAATTCCTTAATTATGGCAATAAAGAAAAATTATTATTTTGCCGATTGGATTATTGTAAATTTGAACATTATAGAAAATTAATTATTTAAGTTAATGGATTCATAATTTTTTAGGATATATATTATTTTTATTATTAGTTTTATTTAATAATTAAAATTTTTTTTTTGTTTAAAAATAAAAATAGTTTTTTTTAAAATTAAGTTGAGCAATAAAAATGTTTATAATAAACTAATAGGATATAGTATATATATAAATAAAATTTGTTAAATTTAAATGTCGGAATAAGTAAAAGTAAAATGTGCATTATATTGATATATATATATATATATATTAAATATAATTGACGATCCAAATGATCCGAATATCTTTTTCAAAACTCCGAAATTATATAAGATCCAAACACAGCATCCTATGAGGGCAAAATCATTATTTACCAACTTTTAAACTTCGAAAGAACTTGACTTTCTCAACCAAATCGTCACCTCAACAATATATGCCAACAAATAATTTGGGTTAATTTCAATTACGCCCTCCATTGCCAATAAAATATATAATGACGTTGTCCTGGAAACGTACTGATACCAGTACAAAACACAGCAAACATCTTTTTGTACTGTCAATAGTTTTATTTTCTTTACAACCTTTAGTTATCGCAGAAGAAAGTTCTAAACTGCGGGCTGAGACTGCAAGCCCAAACGCAGTTGCTACATTTGTGATTTTTGGTTCTTTATTTGCACTTGGCGTAATTGTCCTTTGCACATGTATTAATAGACGATTGAAAGTTGATAAAAATAGGATCCCTGATGTTTATGATCCGGAAATTGCTCGGGCAGAAGCAAGTTTAGTTGAGACTTTAAACGAAGCAGCTCGACAAAATTATGAGCGTGCACGATGTGAGTTATAATCGGAAAACTTTTTTTTATTATATATTATATTTTATTATTATTTAGAACTTATCTAATTAAAATTTTCATATAGTATTTCAAGATGCATATCCACCCGATAGTATTCCTACAGATATCACACTTTCCCAATTTCTTTCAATTCAGGAGAAAGGTGTGTCAGCATGGGAATTTGAACCGGACCTTCAGCATACTAGCTGTTTTGTAGAATGTCGTACTGAAATCGCATTTTATGATGGTGAATGTTGCGTTCAGACAAACCTCCCGTTACCAAAACAACAAGAAGTATATTATTGGGAAGCTAAAATGTACGACAAACCACAGAATACAACTGTAACTGTGGGTTTAGCAACTAAACCTTATCCTTTATTTCGCTTACCAGGTAAAGAAAGAATTTTAATTGATTAGAAATTTTTAGTATTCTCAAATTTTTATTTATTTTTATATATATATCAATTCCACTTTAAAAACTTTATTTTTATTTTTTAAGGGTGGAACCGTCAATCAGTTGCTTATTTTTCGGATAGTGGTTTTAAATACTATAATTCACCATTTAATGGTAAAACGTATGGTCCACAATTTCAACAAGGTGATGTTGTTGGTGTTGGTTATCGACCAAGAACTGGTACGGTTTTCTTTACACGTAATGGGAAAAAGTTAGACGATGCATTTACAGGAATGAAGATGAATCTTTTCCCCACAGTTGGAGCAAATGGACCTTGTTGTGTTCATGTGAATTTTGGTCAACTAGGATTCGTTTTTATTGAAGCAAATGTAAAAAAATGGGGGCTTGCACCGACAATGGGAACATTAGCACCTCCTCCAGCATACGGATCAGAACGAGGTTCGATTTTGTTGGAATCTAGTTCTAGGGGACGTCCTTCAGAGGATATTTCTCGTTTACAATATAATGTGAATAGTGGAATTATGACAGGTGTTCCTCCTGAAGCTGGTTTGGACATTTCTTTGTCGGACATCACAGTTCCACCACCTTCTTATTCTTCAGTGGATCGATATTATGAGCGTCAATCTTTTATGTCCGAAAGTTCTGAAACGTATCTGTTAGCTGGGGAACAAAGTGATTCTAGAAGAAATAGTTATGAAAGTACTTCTAGGGATCAACAAAGACGCGGCTAGTCTATTTATTAATTGTAAAATTAAAGAGTTCATCGATTGGAGATTGATATTTATTTTATTATATGCAAAAAACAAAATTGTATTAGATTCTTATAAGTATTTCCCCCTTTTTTTCCTTTTTATATTTTTTTTTTATTTTTTTGTTTTTTTTATTTTTGATTTTACGAACGATTTATTCATTTCACGGGTTAAAACAGTTCAGATTCGACTTTGGTATTCACACACATCAATTTTTGATCATTCACAATTCTCGGGTGGCTTTGTGTTTTGAGAAAGAATTACCCATTTTTCATTTGTATACTGTAAATGTATATATATAAAAAAAAAAAAAAATTCATTCATTCTTTATCAGTTTTTGGATCATAAGTATTTGATTTATTTAGGTTAATTCGGTAAAAGAAAGAAAAGAAAAAAGAAAAAAAAAAAAAAATACACGATATTCAATGATAAATAGAACTATTTAGATTAATGATTGACTTATAAAGTATACAATATGAATTAAAGGTAAGTAAGTATCTGTTTACAGGGTTTAGAAATAACAGATAAAATAATAATGAAAAAAAAAAAAAAGAATAGTGATAGTCAGAAGTTTAAAAAAAAACATTTCTTTTTGTACAATATATATATATATATTTTTTTTTGTTGGACACTTCTTTTTAATGTAAAATTTTCCTGTACAATGGAGAAAGTTATTATTTTATCAATTAAACAATTAGCATTTATTTAATCAGCATTAACGTACGTATTATTGTAAAATAAATATACTTTCAAGAATCAATGTCAAGTTTATTATGTTTGGTTATTGTTTCGTTTTCATCGAAATTATGAAATTTATCACGTGAAAATAATCATATCATAAATTATTATTACGAAGCAATGTTAATTAGAAGATGAGTAATTTGGTCTGCAAAGCTCTATGGCTTTTTCCTCACATTTATTAACAAGGTTAGAATTATTTTTTATCCATTGTTCCAGATTTCCTTTGGCATGTTTGATGTATTCTTCACGCGATGACATTTTGATTTCAGTATTATCACATGTTGAAAGAATATATATTCCGTATTTCGGATCATATGCGCGATATTGCAAGTTTAATAAAATTAGAACGTTCTTTGGCTGGTTTAATTAATTTAACATTAGTGAATACAATTAAATCGCAACTAATTTAAATTAATAAATAAATAATACCTTTAATATAACTTCCAAATAAGTAGAAATATTTTTTATTTCAATTTGTGCTAAACGTCCACTGTTGTCGGTGACTAACAAAGTTTGGATTTTTACTGCTTTCCCAAACCTTTGTCCGATAGAGGGTTCTCCAACAACTGATTATGTTTTATTAGGGTCACATAAGTAAAGTTATAATCATATATAATGTATTGTATGGTACTTACTTAGAATATAAACTACTACATCCACTTCAATGTTCAATTCCTGCCTTTGAAGTTCATCTAATAGGGTTATAGTTCTCGATGAATAAGAAGATAATGCATTACTATTTGTTTCCACGTTTTCTTCTTTCCAGATGGTTGAACCTTTCGTTGAGGATAAACGTATAGGCGATAAAGAGGTAATCTGGTAACTTTGATTACTAGCCGTTGTTAAAGAATAAACCTTATATCTTCGCCCTTCTCTTATTGTATTGAACAATAATTCATCTGGCTGCCAAACATTGATAATACCCTCACATTTATTATTTGTCAAAGTATTAAGATGATAATCACAGACACGAACTTTGAAAAATGGAACAACTTTACGAGTATAATTTGATTTCTAAAGATGAATAAAGCTGAGTGAGAAATAATGGCGCTAATATATTAATTAATATTCTTATAGGATAGGATGTTCCCAAAATAACGATTGTTTAACATTTAGGTAAATTACCTCTAATTTATAATAAACCCAATCATTCATATGACTTGCTTTTTCTTGTTCCTTTTTTTGTATATAATTTTGAAGCCATTCGCTCTGTTCCGAAGACAAGTCCTGCCAGAATTTGGAAGGTTCAAGACAGTCTTGCATTATCTCATAAAGTTGTTCTCCAGAGGTAATTTTAGACATATCTATCTAGGATAGAAATTGGATTGTTCAATAAACTTGTCTGAAAAGGTAAAGGGACTAGAATCTAATTATAACACAACCTTGTATCATTTGTTTTTGGGAGATACCCTTTGACTTGTTATGATTATGCAATATTTTGTACTCGTTGATTAATGATTGGATTTTTATATTTACCCTAATCTAAATAAAATCGAAAAATTAATTAATTTACACACGGTTAAAAGTGTCAATATATACATACTTACATCATGTTTATTCTTTGCATATTCTTCTTCTTGTTCGTTACGATTAATTATTGTACCATCTTTCATTGTCTCTCGAAAAATTATCGGGTATTTCCGCAATACTAAAATATCTATGGCAAAAATATATCCACCATCGGGACAAAGACTACGCAAAGTGGCATAAGGACAGACTCGTTTAAATCCCAATTTTGCATCCCAGTGCGCAAGTTTTGTAGAATTCGCGGAAAGTTTCAACCGAATGGAATTAGGAACTTCGAGAGCTGGTATACCTACAGGGCCACCTACAATCTAGTTGTTAAATTCGAAGAAACTTTAATTGTCATTCGCATTTAAATAAACCTGAAATTAATTGTTCTGGATTTACTTTGGCCCCGCAAATTTCCACCTTGCATCCAATTCGTAATTTAGATTTAGAGATCGCTCGTTGAAGTGGTAAATCAATATCAGCTCGAATCTTATACCACATATCAGTTAATTCGAGGCTATAAGTAATTTTGCAAATATCTTCTCTAACATTATTTTCTAAAAAAATAATTTCCGACAATTAAATTAATATATTCGTTTCCAAATTTAGTATTGTTGGATGTACATTACCTGGAATTACAAGGGAAGTATCTTCCTCTATTATATCAGACACGCAAAGAATCATTGACATACTTGCAGCCGCGTCTCCCTCAATAATCATTTTAAGTGCAGATCGATGTGCGTTATTAATTTCCCTCTCATATCTTATATAAAGAACATTGAATATTAAAATGTCGCAATAATATTATTTAAGATGCTAAATCATTTACCTACCTATATCGTAACTGATCAAGTACTTTTTTAGGATTCCACCAACTGCGAAATTCATGTGGGAAAGATCGAACCATACTTGCAATTTTCCAAACGATCCATCGAAAATGATTACAAACCCAATTTTCGTTGATGAAGTCAGGATTTGCACCGGATTCAATCAGGCATGATAAAGCTTCATCAGGACCCCAAAAAGATAAACATTTCGTGTTTTCTTGTGATTGTCCTTCAGGCCACGTAAATCGATAAAAAATGGCGTTTTTTGAAGTTATATTGATGACTTCTACGGGACTTTATTTAAAAATAAATCACATTTTTTATTATAAATAGAATTTATTTATTAATTGAATAACATATATATGATACTCACATTCCGAGTTTTTGTAAATATGACATAGAAAAATCAAGGGGATAATTAGAAACAACGTCCTTGAGCCTAACTCTTTTTAAAAGAGCTATAAGAATTCGACGACATACGCATTTGAAAGTTAGTCATTAATAATATCTAATTATATCAATTAGTCAGATTTCAACTTTAATAATTTACATGTTAGATTAAATAACTTTGTAATAGAATTAGATTCAGATATTTTAGATTGAGAGTTGTGAGATTCCTGAGAAACGTTTGGATGTAATCTTCTTCGCTTATTTGGATGCAAAGGATGTACAATATTTTTCGAAGATATTTTTGCATTCTTATTTCTTGATCCAAGCCGTGAATGTATCAAAGGAGTTTCTTTTAATCTAGACTTCGAGTTAGAAGACTGATTTTTGTCTAAATATATTTTCAGACTTTTACCAACGGCATTAAAAGTAAGTTCGGAATCACAAGGATCTTGAGATTAAATAATATTCGTAAATTATATAATAATGACAGTTTTCATTGAATCAAAATTAAGACAATAAGATCTTTAAAATTTTACTTTACCGATTATATTACTCTGAAATTTTTCTTGTAAAATGGAACTTTGTCTTAAATCACCATCCAATACTTTTCGCGCTCTTTGCAATGATACATCAGATATATTGGTGATACTATGTCCATTTGCGGTAGAAAAACTAGAATCCTTCAATACATCATTATCTCTGTGAATTGATTTCGCAAATGTAATGTCATCTAATGATTTTCGTGCCTTATTTAATGACGTTTCGGATATAGAAGGAAGGCTGCGGCCATTTGCAGTAGAAAATCCAAAGCTTTTTGATTCATTATCATTACATGTAAACATCGCATTTGTATTACCATCCAAAGATTTTCTTGCTTTTATCAAGGAATCTTCCGAAACCGCAATAATATTGCGACTACCTGCGGTGGAAAATCCAGAATTTTTTGTCACATTATTATTACGAGGCGGCATTGCAAATATATTATCACCCAATCTTTGTTTTGTCATTATTAAAGGAATCGCAGTAACGCCTACGGAAGAAATTTCAGAATGATGAAGCAAATTATCATTTGATGATGTGGTATCCGGCTTATCATAACTTTTTGTATTTGAATCAAGTGAACTTTCTGATGTCTCAAAAGTCGATAACATTTTATTAATAAATATGAGTAAATAAAGTAAATAAGTGAAAAAATAATTTTATGATTAACAATAAATAAATAGAAAATAAACGCGTCTTTTTTCTTATCCAATGAACGATAATCAAAATTTGTCGATCATTCATTAATAAGATGGATGATGTCACACTATAATTTTTCAAATAATGTTCGATAATTCCGAAGAGCATTTACAATTAGAAGAACAAGACCTTTCAATTTTCGAGGTTTTATAATTATCGTTATTTAATTTGTTGTTGTTTGTTACTTTAATGATTAAAAACCAAAATACATTCATTTTTATCTAATAATCAGGAGCCTGAGGGATATTTACCTCCGCCTTCACAACCAACTTTTCATACGTTTTCACGCAAAGAAGAAAATGTATTACAATCTGGTATAAATAAAATTTTCAAGTGAAATGCATAAATAAACGCACTCAAACATTTTGTTCATTAAATAGATAGTCATAAAACTTTTAGTATACGTTTAGTTGGATCACATCCATTGTGGGGACATATATTATGGAATGCGGGCAAATGTTTTGCGTGGTATTTAGATGAACATAAAGAATTGATAAAAAGAAAAAAAGTTTTGGAACTTGGTGCAGGCGGGGCCTTACCTTCATTAATAGCGGCTGTAAATGGAGCGGAAAGGGTAATTTTTTTTTTTAAAAAGAAGGAATGAATTTGAACGTATGCGAGATGCTATCGTTTCATTGATTGTTATAAATTTTTTTCGTACCTAAAAGGTTGTTATTACCGATTATCCGGACGATGATTTGATAGGGAATATTCGACATAATGTAATTACGAATTTGAGCACAACGGATAATATAAATATATTGGTAATTATAAAATTTCTAGGTTAACTGATAAAATAAATTTAATTTATTTATTTATTTTTATAATTGATGATATCTTTAGGGATACATTTGGGGCAAAGATACGAGTCCCTTACTTAATACGATATCATCAAATTTATATGATCTCATCATATTATCTGATCTGATATTTAATCATTCTCAACATAAAGCAATTTTAAAAACATGTGAAGAATGTCTTGAGCCCATTAATGGACAGGTATTGGTTTTTTTTACTCATCATCGACCAAATTTAGCAAATAAGGACATGGAATTTTTTGAAGAAGCGAAACATTTAAAATGGAAAGTTGAGAAAGTCCATGAAAAGATTATGAATGTCATGTTTGATAAAGACCCTGGAAGTGTAATTGTCAGATCAATTGTTCACGGATACAAACTGACTATTAATAATTAATTAAAAGTATCAGAATATAAAGAAATACAGGGAATCATTTACAAAATAAAAATTTTTACCGAATGATGTAGTTTCATTTCCCATGTCTTTATTTGCGATTCAGATTAATCAAAGTTGGCATTGATTGTACCTAAATAAGATTAGGTAAAATCGGAGAAATGACCATTTTCATCCACTTTAACAGATAAAACAATAAACCCATTTAATAGTAACAAAGTACTAGTGAGATTTTTTATAACCTGATAAAGATTCGAGATATGATATTTATAAATAGAGTTCCTGTTTTTCGTTTGCTTTGGTAGGGAATTGAGACGAAATATAATTACATTCGGTGAATGACTTTATAGGAAAGGCAATTTATTCGGGTTAGCCATTTGTGGTTCAAAAACGCTGACATAATTTTTAGATGACGGGAATCTAAAAACAAATAACACGTTATTTTTAATAGGCAAGTTCGATGAATATCTCACGCAGCATCTATTATGCAATGCAATCATAACCCGCACAGATTTTGGTTTAATCTGCTTTGTCGCTTCTCTCTCTCTCTCTCTCTCTCTCTCTCTCTTTTTTACTTTCTTTAAAGAATAAATATTTACCAATTTTTTTTTTCTTACCCATGGATCCAAAAAACCCTAGCTATTTTTCAATTTCCAGCAATATAGACTACGATTTGGACGATCAAGTTACTGCTGATGTTAACTTGAACAATGTTAAACTCAATACATTGTCTGCGAGTGAACAAGAAAAAGAAGGTAATTCTATAATAAAAGTCTTTTATAATTTTCATACATAAATTAATAATCTTTTTTGTTTGTTTCAATATTTAGATGAGAGAATGTGGCAAGGGGTAAGAAAATTGTTATTTCAAAATATTTAATTCTTTTGATTCTTTCGGGATCGCATCGTATTTTTTTTCTTACCTTGTTAGATTTTTCATAGGTTCAAGCTTTCTTTTGCAATCGATACACAGAAGCACAAGAAATCTTTGCTGAAAAAGCAGACATCGATCCCTTATATGCTCTAGGTCAGGGATGTATTTCATTTTTAAAAGGTAGGTTGATATCGATAACATCTAATTTAATTTATTTATAATTCGTTTCCATTCTTAACATTGATTCACCTTTTTAGCGGTAACAACTTTTAACGAGCAAGATATTGCTATAGCAATTAAACAACTTGTTTCTGCGGAATCCTTAGCTAGTGCACAAATAGGAGCATTTAAATCACAATCAAGCGTAGGATCAAGTTTTGGAAAACTTATATCCAGTTTAAGTTACTTTGGAAATAATAATAAAAATCAACAATTTATGTCAAATGGACAGTTAAGAAGTACTGTTATTAAAGCTGAATCAATATTGTTGATAGCTCTTATTCAATTACTTCAAGAAAGTATCGTTAGTTATGTAAAAGCAGGATTGAATTTAAGACGAGGTAAACTATGTTTTTTTAAATAATAAATAAATAATATACATATATTCTGATGTTTTATTGTTATTACATTAATAGGTTATAAAAACTATGAAAGTGTGTGGAATGAAATTAACAAACCTGGTTTCAATGTACCTGTCGATTATCATACTCAAGGCGGCGTAGAATTCGGGTTGGTTTTTTTTGTGTTTTGATCCAATATTTTATGAGCAGATCTCCCTTTTTTTAGAAAAAATAAATCAATCATAACTAATTGTGTATTGATCATATTTTAATTTTCTATTCTGAACCATGTTTAGTTATGGAACGTGTAATCTTGTACTTTCTTTTATGCCCGGAAAAATTATCAAAATTATATCCGCTATAGGTTATAAGGGGAATAAAGAATTGGGTTTAGAATTATTGAACGCGTCTTTAAAAGGAAGAGGAATTAGATCGCCATTGGCATCTCTCCTGTAAGTTAATTAAACATAATTAAATGTAAAATTTTTTTTTTTATATTGTTTACGAGTTCATAAATTATTAAATTTTCTTGTTAATCACAGTTTTGTAACATCATATACAATGTTGACTTCTTTTTCGCCATCCACTTTGGGTCAAGATAATGTATTGAATTCAAACAATATAACACGAATTTTGTAGTTATAATAGTTATAATTGAAATTTATTTATTTATTAAATTGTTATAGATTTAATGAAATTTGAATATATATAGATACCGAAAGCCGAAGAATATATTCAGGATGCTTTGAATCAATTTCCTGGTTCCGATTTCTTCACCTTTTTCGCTGGTCGTAATCTTCGACTTAAACGTGATCTGGACGCGTCTACCGAAGCATTCATATCAGTAAATCATAACCTGAAAGAAGGATTTGGTGTCGAATTAAGACGTTTATGTGACTATGAACTGGGGATGAACTATGCAATGACTTTACAATGGGAAAAGGCTGTGGAATGTTTTGATATACTTGCAACTGAGAACTATTGGAGCCCTGCATTTTTCCGGTACTTTCAAGCAGCTTGTCTAGAGATGCAAGGGAAGAAGAAGGAGGCCATAGATTTATATATAAATGTTCCAAACCTATCTGTACGAAAATTTGGTGGTCGCACTATACTTGTGGAACAGTATGTCACACGCAAAACAAAGAACTATATCACAAAAAATTTTGAAAATACATTATTACCGGGTTTGGAAATTCTGCTCATATGGAATAGTTTTGCGTGTATGAAGAAAGAAGATTTGATTCGTTGTTTAGATATAGTTAATTCGAAAATAGAATCTATAAGTAAGATCGATAAACAAAATCCAGTCGATTCACAATGTATGCTTCGTCTTATCAAGGGTTCGATATTGAACCAGCTTCATAAATTCCCAGAGGCTAGTCAATGTTTCAGTTGGATATTTGATCATAATGACGACATTGTCGACGATAAATTTATTGAGCCATTTGCTTATTGGGAAATGGGAGTAGCTGCGTTTTTAAAAGGTCATTTAGAAAAGGCTAAATTGTCATGGGAGGAAGCTGCTAATTTCAATGGATATGAATTTGAATTTAGGTATATTGTTATATATTTCTTATTGGGGGGGGGGGGGTTTTTTTTTAATAGAGGTGAGATGTTTACTAACATAGTTTTTTATTTTAGACTTGCGATGCGTTTACATTTATCCTTAATGAAAGTAAATGACATGCTCCCCGAAAAAAAGAAAAAGTCGAAAATTTTTATATAATTATTTATTAAATTTTATATAATCTTGAATATGGATATAACTTTACTTATTAATGGATAATGTATTATAGATCTGGATGTTAGCAGTCGGTTCGATCGATTTTGTGCTCTGGAAGGTAAAAAACCGAAACTGCAAACATTCATAATTAAATTTTAATATAATAAAAGGAATTATAATTATTTTGATTGTTGAAATATTCTCTTAGATTTGAGAATTAAAATAAATTATAATAGATTTTCGCTGTTGCTGAAATTGCAGTCATTGTTGATGATTTCTATTTCCAAGATATCACGAAAGAAGATTTTAAAAAAGAATAACTTTTGGTCAAAGTTTTTATAATAAAAAAATGTGGTTGACTAAGATAGAATCTTTTCTGCAGATAGCAAAACCAATTTATAATATTATTTTACAATGTTTATTTTAGATGATAAATTTTCTTAAAATATATGATTATTATATATGATTATTAAATTTTGAATAAAGTAGAAACATTCTCTTAAATTTAAACTAATTAATACATTCTATATAAATTAAACTATATTAATTTATTAATATTTTTAATTAAAAATTAAAAGTTTTAAATTCTTTTTAAATACCATCTTATATATCTAATTTCTTAAATACCAATAATTTATTTATTAATACAATTTTCATATACAATATACAAAATTTTTTAAATTGATTTAAGAAATAATGATATACAAATAATTTTATTTTAATTGTAAATACTGTTTAATATTAATTTGCTTAATATTTTAAAATTAGCTAAATTAAATGATTGGCTTATAAAAAATCTATATAAATTTAATATAAATATTAAATATGTTAATATGTTAATAAAAATTAAAATTTAAAATACTATCTTTTTTATTATATTTTTTTATAAAGATTAATATATTAAATTAAATTATTAGTTATTATAAAATAAATTAATATAATTAATAAATTATAATAATAAAAATATGAATATTTTTTTTTATCTAGAGATACTATTATCCTTTTCTAAAAATATGCTAACATCTAATTTTAACTAATCCTATTTAACCTTAATTCTAACTTTAATCATAATAAATAAATATGTGTAACAAATAAGATTTCACTTACTTAAAAAATATCTAAGTTCCCTAAATAAATAGTAAAAATAGAAATTTAAGAAGTATGATATGATATGATACAAAGAGAAAATATATATATCTATAGATATAGTTAATGTTGTCATAAGACATTGATAGGACACTGATAGGACACTGATAGGACATAGATGGAACAGATAGGACATTTGGAACATAGTATGAAACAGGTTGAAACATATAGCTAGGACATATAACTGGGATAACAAATCTTTGAAACATCAAAAATGTATATCACTGGATATAGTTATAATATACTGTAAAAATATTTATATAATATTATATATTATAGATTTTTTTTTAACTTAATTTTTAAATAAATAATATATTAAATTATTTTGATAAATTTTATAATCAGCTAATAATAATATGATTAATTAATATAATATAATATATAAATGTTTAACATATTAAAACATATTTATCATAATTAATATAATTGATATATTAAACATATTTAATATTCTTAATATATTTTATATAATAATATTGTTCTATGTAAATAAAATATAAATTAATTATAATAAAAATAGCTATTAATTATTATAAATATTTCTTATGATTTATATTAATATATATATCCTTTATTTTTATTACTATATATATTTTCTTTAATTATTTATTATTATACATATCCTTTCAAAATATCTATTGTTATATACATCTTTTTTAATTTAATCTAATAATTATGCATTTCTTATCTTAATCAATTGAGTATTTTTTTTATTTTATAATTAATTATATTTTATTTTATTTTTATTTTTTTAATATTATTACAGTCAACTCTTGATATAGCGAACTCTTGATATAATGAATTTTTTGAACAAATATAATAAAAATACTTTTATTATAGTGAATTAGTCAATCAAATCTTTTAAAATCTTCACTATAGCCTTATAGCGAAGTTGAGATTTAGAATATAGAGTTCGTTATAACAAGAGTTGACTGTATTCTATTATTTTTTATTTTAATAAATTACTTTTTTTAACTTATAATTCTATATAAATTCTATTTAAAAAGTACTTAAAATCAGTATAAACTATATAAAACTTTAAAAATATATTATAGTACTAATATAATTTATTTAATATATTATATAATTTTAAAATAATTAATTTTTAAATACTATATCTAATTATTATAATTTGTAAAAATTGTATATTAATAATATTATTAATTTTTATATTTAAAGTAAACTATATAAATTACTTTTTTATTTTATTATTTAAAACTTAAATTATTTATTTAAATTTAAAAGAAAATTTATATATTAGTTAAAATTAAATATTTTTTATTAAAATCAAATATTTAATATTAAAAATTAGGCAATTTCTATTTTATACACAAGTGTATTGTATACAGTCATGTGATACAGCCAACATTAATATTACTTTTACTAATATGAAGAAATTAAAATATTATTTGTATGACGTCTATGTGATAGTTAATAAGTGATAAATAAGAATTTTTTACCAAAAAATTTTTGTTTCTGAAATAAATAGTAAAAACTAAAAATAGGGGGATATGACGCTAATAATAAATATATATCATATGATACAGGTATATACACCCTGTATAAACTTAAAATTTTCTAAAAATTAATATATCAAATTCTTTTTATATTAAAAACTTTATAAATTATATATCTTATTAATTTTAAAAAAATTTAAATTTATATATTTTTAAAAAATTATAAATTAAAATTAAAATATTTATATATATTTAATAATATAATTTAAAAAACAAACTTTAATTAAAAAGTAATAATTTTATAATAATTTTATAATGTATTATAACTAAAATTATAAAAATTTTATAAAATTTTATAGGCAACTTATATTTGTATATAGGTATATTATATATAAGTTATATAATATAACTAGTATTAATATTATTTTTTGCTAATATTAAGAAATTAAAAAATTAGTCATGTAATAAATTTAGTATAATAAATAATAAATTTTATCAAAAAAATTTTAAGTTCCTAAAATAAATAATAAAAATTAAAAATAAAGGTGTGTAATAATAGTAATAAATATATCTGTCATATGATCTGAGTATATATATCTTATATAAACTTAGAAATTTTAGTTTTATATATTATTCATTTAACAATTTTGTAGACAAATTTGTTTATAATTTAAAAAATTAATTATTAATCACAAAAAAATAAGAATTAATAGTATCATCATGAAATTTTCTAATTTAGGTTAGTTACATTCTTAAATATTTATTTAAGATAACTATTACTATGATTAAGATGTTAGAATTTGTCTAACTCTTAACTTTATTAAATTTATATACAATTTAATAAATTCATTAAGTATAAAAACTTAAAAAATGAAATTACAAATAACTTTAATTAGAGAACTTAAATGATAAACTTAATTACAAATTCTATATTAAACTATATGAAGATACAAAAAACAGAAAATTATAAATTTTAATTAATTTCTTTATTATAATATTGAAACTCATACTTGCAAAAGAATTAATTTATAATATACAATAACAGTCATAAGTATCTGACCCCTCATAATTCTTAAAGTTAATTAATAATATCTATTAAATTTTTGTTTAAATTTAAGTTCAATACTAACCAGGATTGTAAATGTAACTTACATCTTGTAACTTACCAATGTAACTTACGGTAAGTTACCAGTAGGTAATATAAGTTACATTTTATTAATAGGCCGGCATTAACTTAACTTTAATCAAAATTAAGAAAATTAAAATTATATAATATATAAAACATATAAACGTTATTTATTTATTTATTTATTCATCATTATCGCTTTCAATATCTAATTCATTTACATCAAAATCATCTATAAAAAAA